TCAGGTGTTGTGGACGTTGGTTGTGAAAAATGAGCCTGATGACATAGTGTGTAGAAAGGTGAATTCACTCTTGAGACTGCTATTCTAAGGAATCTTACTCACATATGAAACAAAAGCTTTAATCTGTTACTGAATGGCAATGTAAGTTTCAAATATAGATACATACATACGCTTGTCTTTGATTTTTTCACTTTCAGTAAAATATTTTGATTCTTCTATACTTTTAAATATTTCATTAAGATTAGTTTAAAGCTAAAATTCTAGTTAAAGCCTCAAAATAGCAGTTTTATTTTAATTGTCTGACTTTCTACGCAATGGTGTATCTGCATTGCCCCTATAAATAGAAAATATTGACTCAGCTTTTATAGCAATACTTAAATGCCCAAAGTTTTCATAAGCTCTGTTCCCAATTTCTATTAGTCTGATTCTCTAGACCACACAAAATATCATTCCTAGGAATATTTGTAACAAGTTGGAGGTCATGTTATTTTAGTGTAGACAATTGGAAAAGAGTTAAAACAGTTTTATACTGAGCCAGATAATAAAAGTCCTGCCTAGACTTAGTTTGCATTCTTGAGATTGCTGCAAATGTAAAGAGTTTCATTTTGATCCCGGAGGTGGCATGAGGAAGTGCAGGCTTGTAGGACTTGGGCAGTCATGCAGTCCCACATCTTAGATACTACGTGGCACAGATGTGTTCTTGGTGATCACTAAAAATACCAAATGTTAATATATTTTTCTATGTCAAAAATCTATAGTTTTCCTAACTTACTATTCTGGGTAGGATTTTCTTACTTGGGAAAGGGAAGCTTTTCTAATTAAGGTTCAACTGTAAGAAGATATACTTAGAAAATATTCAACAAGAAGAGTTTTCAACTCTCAGTTTCCTAAAACCTCAGTGTTTGAACTAGTTTTACAGAAAGGCCACAAAGCCTCCCTTTTGGACATGAATCTTCTTACACATATATATTTAATTATGTACATATATGGTGTGCTCTGTGCCTGTGAAATGGTGACTTCAACAGGTAGGTATGTGTCTGAAGAATTAGTTTCTGGGCGAGGTGCTTTGTGACTATTCTTGGGCTGGAAATTTTACTCTCACTTTAAATTAATGATCTTGAAGACAAAGATGGGTAAATCTACAATTTCAAATATCTTTTAAACTTTGCTCATGTTTGCCAAACTTAAGCAAGTAAGAATCTCAGAAGCAGACTTATTTGAATCTATACCCCTGCAAAGCCTTTCAACTTTTTTTGTTTGTTTGTTTGGTGGTACATTCATTTTGAGTGTGCATTGTACTTACATATTTGTAATAGAGTTTCCTACTGTTTCCTTTTAAAAGGATGGCTTATTTAGAAAAGAGGACCTTGGAACAGTGCTGTGGGTTTAATGTTTCATAGAGTATAAGAGAAGTGCTGCATATGTGGATCTCCATATTCATGAAGCTTATTTCACGTGCTGAAAAAGAGTTTTATTTGACAAGCAGAGCTCAGTACCTAGATTCATTGGACTTTAACTGTAGTACATTCCTAGGTATCAGAATACAGACTGAATTCACATCAGTGTATAATGCTTTCATTCACAGTAAAAATATGTTCAGCTCTCTTTCTTGTGAAGCTTTTTGTGTATCTTAAAAAAAAAATAACATATCTAGGTATCTAGGAGTTACCTTTTTTGCTGTTTAGCTTCACAAGGTGTCATAGGACTTTTCCAAAGATATACAGGAGCCCTGAACAGGTATTTTTCCTCCTTTGTGGTCCTAATTTTGGCTCCCCTTTGAGTGTTACCGCTGCCTCCCTGGGTTTCTTGGGCATTCCTGGGATTCCTCTCCATTTTCTCTTGGTTTGGGATTGCCATCCTCTCCTTTTGCTTGCCTTGCCTCCTTTGCTAGATCACAGGAGCTTTACAGAAAGAATAGGAGAGCATTCGCAGTGCTACCAGAGTAAACACTGTAGAGTCACACAGCAATTTTTGTTTTCTTGAAGATTCTCCTAAGCTGAAAAATTTTGAGGTCGATCCTGATGGGGCAGTTCTTTTTACATTTTATACAGTTTTTTTTACTATGAAAAAATAGAGCCAATGATTTTACTATTCCCCCCCCAAAAAAAAACATTAACCTTAACCTATCAAGAAAACATGTAGTGACTAAGTAGTCTTGTTATTTTTAATGGCAAATGACTGCTATCTTGTTGGGCAGACATATTATGCTTGTAACTAATAAATGTGGGGATCTGTGTTATTAGTACCTTGGGATACTCTTGTTGATTTTAAAGCAGGACTGTTTCTTGACAAAACCATAAGATCAGATCAAAGTATTATTCCTAATTAGATCTTGTTAAAGCTTTTTAAAATTACCTTTTTTATCTGTACATGCACAGTTGTTTATTTCTCGTGAGCCTTTACAACACATACGTATTTTCATTCAAAGTGTTAAACCAAATAAAAACAAAAGCAAAAACAAGCCTCTGTGATAATTTGATTTAGACTGAGAAATGTGTTTCATCTTAAAATCAAGCCCGAGTCTAAAATTTGCAGATATTTGCAGATACCCACTAAGCACAGAAGCTGAATCTCCCGCTTTTGTAAGAGAGCTGAACACAAAGCCAGATTCCTTTTGTGGCCATAAAATGGCTGGGGGAGGGGAAACTGTCCACAATGGATGGCCCGGTCTCTGTAAGCCACCTCGTGACCTGAATGTTGAAATCACTCCTCTGGATTTTCCTGGCAATTCCAATTTTAAGTAAACTACTTTTGTCCCTCTGTATTTCTTCTGCCACCTTTCCTAATTTTTGTATTTGGAAAAGATGGGCTCCATTGTCAGGCAGAGTAGTCTACCATATTTGCAGTTAGTGTACTCACATCCTACGCCATCCAGTCCTGAAGTTGAGGTTGGCTTGAGACTGAAAGATATCAGAAAGCTGCTTGTTAATGTGAATAATTTCCAAGAAAGGAGATTTCTGAGGTCTGGTTAGGTTCCTGACAATCGTTATTGTTGGCAGTTCTGACTGTAGGATCATTCCATCTCTTACTAACTTTGAGGAGAGGAGGAAACCCTTGTATACTTGTCCAGCATTTGGATTTCCACTCTATGCTCTTGGGTTTTCTGACTGTTTGGAGAGGATTGTTCAAATGCTTATAGCAGGAGCTGTGTCAGAGCTGGACTTTGATAATGCAATCAGCCAGTTCATTTCTAATTCCTCTCAAAAATGTTTAAATGAGTGATTATTTGTAATTATCATAACCTCACTTTCCTTTTCAGTCAGCCACAGCTCGTCATTTTGGGAGACAGCCTCATTCTAATATTTCTTAATATTTAGATGAGTTGACATTTTAAACTCTAAACCCTATAAGCTTTCAGAAAATATCTTTCAGTTGCCAGGATCTGCTATAGCAGGATCCTGATTCCAGATATGAGTAGGAAGCTGGTATAGCTCAGAGACAGTTCCCACTTAGCTTATCTTTACTTATTTACACTTTACTTCCTGATTCCTACAACACCTTCCCTCTTATTTTCTTATCCAACCTACCTGTCTTGAAGTTGTTTTCCACCTCTAAAGCAATGAATGAGAAAGGAACAGTGTAGCCTGGGGTTGTGTATTGAATGCTAGGGACCCAGAACACTTGGTGAACAGAGGACATGTACAAAGATAGTAATTTGTAGACCATAAAAATAGGCCCCTGAAAATTTTTATTTTGATAGAAATATAAAAGATTATCTTAAAAGCTTCTTTCTCTCTTCCTGACTTTATCGAGGTTTTTTTTGTTTTGTTTTTGTTTTTTTTTACTGAAGAGGGGACAAATGAGTGTTTTTCTGCTAGAAATGGAAAATTCTTTGAAAATGAAATTGTTTTTAAAAAGGCTTTTTGGTGTTTTACATTTTGTATTTTTAGGAACCAAAAAAATAAATATATGTGTTTTCCTACTAAAATGTTTTTTTTTTTTCATGTTATGTTTGTGAAATGTCAGTGTACTAAAATGATTAGTTGAAAGAGTAGCAATTGGGCAATGCTGTCTTTAATTTTACATTTATACTATGTCATAATTATTGGCCTCATGTAATTACCCATCCTTCAAAATTCTTAAAGGAGTAGAAGAAACATCCTAAGAGCCTAGAGAATTTCTGTGACTAAATTAATTGTTTGGTAATATGAACTTTTAGGGTAAGCCAGGATGTAATTCAGGCAGGATCATGCTGTGGTGTCACCTTTAAAAGTAGAAGTATATAAGAAAAAAGTGACATGATCCAACATGGTATTGATTACAAATTTGGGTGTAACAGAAAGAAAACCTACAAGTTTTAAATAAACTTAAATAAGTAAAGTTAAAAGTCAATACTTGTCCAAACATAACTTGCAGATAGGGTGACACTGGTGGATCATCATGGTTCTCTTTGCATAGTTGAACCTACCCTCTTCCTCCACCCCAATCCTACTATTCCATTGATCTTGCATTGGTCTCATTCCTAAGAAGTGGCTCAGTTTATGGTGCTCAGCTTCTAACAATAGAGGTAACCATCTACAGTAACCCTAGTTAGTATTTACTGAACCTTTACTAAATGCCAGGTATTTCCTGGATTCATTTAACCCCGGACAGATGGGTTGTCCTCGCTTTCTAAATGATTAGAGGCACAGCCTTACGGCCACTAGCCTTTCTCCCCCATTAGAGGTCGAGGTAGATTTCCACTCTAGGTCCCTTTACCCCAAGTGCTTTCCTATTTCATCCAGGTGCCTTCCAGCTCTAATCTTTGAACTTTGCCTTAAAATCTTATCCTCCTCCAGATCAGATATGTGTAAGGTATCGTTCGTCTTCTGGAAGAAATGAATATATTGCTAGCCTGGCTTTTGTGTGTTTGAATTTCTTTTCTAAGAATTAGGGGAAGCAGGTGTGGGGTTGCAATGTTGCAATGTGACAGTGAAGAGATTTACCTCAAAGGGGGAGAGTTACTGCACAACAGACAAAGGGGCTTCTATGTTAACCTGTGTGTCTTCATTTCTTCTTAGGTTCTCCATACTATGACAACGTTCGTCCCCTCTCTTACCCAGATTCAGATGCTGTGCTGATTTGCTTTGACATCAGTAGACCTGAAACTCTGGACAGTGTCCTTAAAAAGGCAAGTGTTGGGGTTGGATGGCACAGTTCAGCGCTGGCAGAAGCAAAAGATAGAAACATGTGTTTGGCTGGGGAGCTCAAAGGCTCTAGTTGATTTCCTGCCACGTGTTTTGTAATTGAAATACTAGAAAAGACACTCACACCAACAGGCTTTCCACACATGTTTCACTAATTTTGATGATTAATATGCTTGAGATTTTATTTCATAAAGTTCTGGAACAAAATACCCTTTAAAAGCATCCATATCTCTTTTTTGGAAAGAATGATGTAGCTAAAATAGTTATATTTTAGTGCTGTCACGTTCACGTCTGGCTTCCTCTTTCCCTCTATCTTTCCTTCCTACCCTCCTTCCTTTGCCAAACAGATTTTGAGCTTTAGTTTGCAAACTTACGTTTGACTTCAAATATTGAACTGAGTGTAATAATAGTTACTTTAATAAAGAAGCTGTGTTTTAGTTATGATGTTGTTTGTTGTGAACAGAAATGTACTAGAGTGGAAGGAATAAGAATATGTCTCCAGATATGTGAATTGTCAAATACTAATAAAGACAATACTTGAGAGCATATTATAAATTATCACATACACCACTTTCCTGGAGGCAAAAGGAGTCAAGTTCTATAGATGGACAAAAGGCACCTGTTGAAGATGAGTAAGGAGTCCCAAGGGGGCCTGGGAGGAGGGGGCATTCTTTGGCCTCTAGTGAATCAGCCTGGGTAGGGCAGTTAGACACAGTGCATTGTGGTTGGGAGCAGCACTGGATAAACATGGGATCTATTCTTTCCCTGGCCTAAGTGCTGAGGGAACGTCAGAGCTAAACGTTGCTGGAGGACCCTCTTCTCCGTGCACCGTGGCAAAAACACAGGATGTGGTTGAGGGCAAGGGTCATCCATGTGACCCAATCAAAGTGAGGGGATTGAGAAGGAGAAACACCTCTATAGATGGCCTGGGAGTTTTTGTTTTTCCTTCAGTTTGTTCTGACTTGTTTGAATTCTTTTGTTTTTTATTTTTAGTGGAGTTTTAATTCCGTGCATTTGTATTAATTTCTATTTCTCTGTGATACTTGATTGCTTGGCTTGTGTGTCATGAAATTAGGTTGGATGTGTACTCACCCTTCCTTATTTTCACTAAATACCATAAACATAGTTCAATAAAATGCAACTTTCTTTTTTGTTTTCATTAAGTTTATTGGTACATTTTAGGTATACGATACAGTTACATTCATCATTAGGATCTTGTACCTTTACATGATATGTCTTGGTTCTTAATTTTTTCCCAATTCCCCTGCCTTCCCTTTACCTTCTGCACCCATCCCTATTTACAGAGTTTGTTTCCATGTTTTTCCTTTTTTCATATTTTTTCTTTTTCCTTCTTTCCTTTCCCTAACCCTCCCACTTCCCTACTCCTTTAGACGTTGACTTCCTATTTCACAATATCAGTTACACAAAATATGACTTTCTTAGTAGATCAAAGAATCTTTTTCACTTTTTAACTCCTTTCAGTTTTGAGTACTGTATATCAAGCAAAAATAGGCCTAATATTTTTTGGATTCAGGCAAGAATATAGTTTTTCTGTCTTTAATGTTTGTAAACAATTGCTGGACAGGCAGAGGGAAGCCAGAGTCATTACCCAGCTGAAGAAAAACATGACAACAACTCTAATTCTGTCTAGAGATAAAAAAAAGCTTCCTTATGTACTAGTTTTTACTTGATATAATATCAAATCATGTCACAAAAAGCCTTTTTCCTATTCTATTTTGCTTTTATATTCTAAGACCAAATGTCTTTGGCCTTATGGATGTTAATGATTGTGGCTTTACATTCATTGGAGGTTTAAGGCTCCTGAAAACCCCTCCTATGGTTGGTCTTGATTTATTGAGTCCTAGAATATCAAAGAGGTTAGGGTTGTTTAAAGCAGGAAAGATTTGTATTCTTTTTTTCTCTCTCTCAATTTATCTTCCAATTCTATCTCTGCTACTTTCTCCTATGCTGTAAATGCTTCTGAGTCATTCTAAGAGGAAAGGAAGAGATCAGTTTTTAAAAATTAAGTTCTGTATAGAGTACATTACTCCTCTCAGTTCACTGGTGGACTGGAGTTTGCTGCCCAGAGTATACTTCTAAACCTGGAATGGCCTCCTCTGGTGGTCTCTTAAATTATGCATGCAGGATGTACTTTTTATCTAGCATTACACTTAGATGCATAACTATATTGCCTTTGCTCTTCATGAATTCCTTTCCAGAAGACACAGCTATGTCTTAATCAATTTTGCCATCACTGCAGTACTTCATAGAGCACTTAAGATATATTTATGGATGTGGGTGGAAGATTCTCAGTCCCTCTAAGTCCTGGTGTCCTGTGAACATTTGGAACTCCCGATCCTGTGCTGATAATGGAGAGCTCATTTGGGAGAAAGAAAAGCTACAAGACACCATCTGCTTCAAAAGAGGACAATTAGCATTCCTTGTTAGGTGTTTTGGAAGGTTCTAATAATTCTAGTTAGGTTAGTCAAATTGGACTAGATTGAAATAGCTACAGCTAGCTGGGCTTGGTAGTGCACACCTGTAATCTCATCACTCGGGAGGCTGAGACAGAAGGATCAGCACGAGTTCAAGAGGCCCACTTGAGCTACATAGTGAGTTCAAGGCCAGCCTATAAACAACATAGTGAGATCATGTCTAAAAAAAAAAAAAAAAAAGAAGAAGAAAGAAAAAAGAAATAGAGTTTATGCAACTTTAAAAGGATCAGGACCAACTCCCTTCCTCAGAGGCCAGGAGGTGGTTCTTTGCACCTGTGATGATCTATACTCTTTTAGCTACTTGAATGAAAGGAAGCTCCTTGACAAGACTTTGTATCTTACCAGCTGTTGCTCAGGTGGCCCATTAGAGCTTTGCTATGCTCAGTCTTTCCTAGTGGAATCAGTGAATGCATACTGGTGCTGGGTTTGGCTGTGTTTTAGTCCCAGCCTCTACCTGGAAAGTACTAGTTCAACAGATCCAAGTATATAGTCCCTGGTGAGGATATATAATTATTTTTCAGAGATATCCCTGATAATTAAGAAATCATTGAATGTACTTTCTGACAACACCCAATGAATTTCTTTCATTTGGGATAGATGACTAATAATAATATTCTTTGGCATTTCTTAATGGATCCACTTTAAAAAGTAGGACTTAGTATCTTTCTGGGAAACAAATAAATGTAAATTTGTTTCTTCACTTGAAGTAACACTCTTTTTGATGTCCTTTTTGAGTACCATTTCTAGTTCCTGTGAGTGGAAAAATCACTTCATCATCTCGATTCCAGTGTTTCTTAACTTTCTTTTTTCTTCTCCTCATAGTGGAAGGGTGAAATCCAGGAGTTTTGTCCCAATACCAAAATGCTCTTGGTTGGCTGCAAGTCTGATCTGAGGACAGACGTTAGTACTTTAGTAGAGCTCTCAAATCACAGGCAGACACCAGTGTCATATGATCAGGTATGTATGTTATCAGTGTATGAAGTGAATTGCTTGGTGAAAGAAATGGAATAGCACTCATAATAAATAAAATAAAATTAGCTGCTTTTTCTACAGGTTCAGCCAGTGGTAATCTGTGAAGTGTAAAATGCTCTGTCATTCAGTAATGTAATCACATGATATTTGCAAACATAAATAGTTGATCATGTGCTACCTTGGTATATCCCTACAACCACCAGTGGATTTAAAGTTCAAAAGATTTGAGAGATAACGTGGTCAAATTCAATAGTTTTTTTAAGAGAAGTAATCTTATTTATATTTAGTAGTCCAATAAAATCCTAACATAGACTGTTATCATTAGACTATTCCATAAAACCATCTTTTAGTATTTCTGCAGGTGCTTACCACCTGTAAAGGAAAATTAGTTTCAGAAATTCTTTCTCTTAAAACCCACAACCAGATTCTGAAGAGGATTCATGTTGAAATAGCTAGGGTCATATTTCACATTAATTGTTTAATGCAATCTAGGGCTAGGGATGTATTTGAGTGGTAGAACCCTTGAGGCCTTGGATTCAATCTCCCAACACAAAAAAAAGTACACTGAAATCCTCATCATGCGTTTATAATTTTTAAATTTGGTTATTTAAATATATCACTTTGATTATGTACACATTTGTTATTATGTATCCTGGAAGCATCATCCACACTTAGAAATTGCATGTTTTATGTTCCATAAAGTAATAGTTATCATGATACTATTCCTTTTCTGAACTTATTTTGACTGTAAGACACAATCACATTAATTGATTTATTTACAATTGATTTTAAATTCCATCCATTGCCCCTATGTTTTGCACAACCTGTTGACTAGCTTTGACTGACATGCACAGTCAAGAAGAGAGAGAGTAAATGCCCATGAACAGCACGAACATGCTCTAAAAGCCATATTGCTCTGTCAAAACTGTGTGGAAAATATGACTTGTGCTCATGACCTTCAGCTGATGTATTGCAGTGATCAAATTCTGTGCTTGTGGTGACCTTGGACTCTTCCAGGCTAACCAGTCACCCTTAGTAAAATTTGCTGTTGAGAATGAATGGCCTCCCTAGCTCTTCTTCTAATTCTTTGTATCAACTCATATGAAGTTTTTGATGATCTGGGCCCTCATGTATTAATGACCCGGTGACTTTGGATCAGGCTTTAGAAGCTATGGGAAGCTACAGCAAATATTTATTGAGTAATAATATTTGAGTACCTTAGGCCTGGGTCTTGATTGCAAATATTCATGAAGTAATAGAGTACTATAGATCAATTTAAAAAATTTTGTTTGCAACACTTGGAAAATTCAGTCAACATATTAGAAAATGTTTTGCAATGAGAATTGTGTTGTGCTATTAGAAGACACTATAGCTTTACCACAAGGTCTTATTGCTAATTAAAATCCCTTCTTTTCTTTCTCAGGGGGCAAATATGGCCAAACAGATTGGAGCAGCTACTTATATTGAATGTTCAGCTTTACAGTCAGAAAATAGTGTCAGAGACATTTTTCACGTTGCCACCTTGGCATGTGTAAATAAGACAAATAAAAATGTTAAGCGTAACAAATCACAGAGGGCCACAAAGCGGATTTCACACATGCCTAGCAGACCAGAACTCTCAGCAGTTGCTACGGACTTAAGAAAGGACAAAGCAAAGAGCTGCACTGTGATGTGAATCTTTCGTTATCTTTAATGAGGACAAGTGAGTCTAGTGTAAAAACAAGAGTGAAACTAAAAGGTGAAGTCTGAATGAAGTGCACAGCCAAAGCCAAGTACGCGGCAGACTTAGGAGGCCCCTAAGAGGACACACATCTTTGTGGAATCCTGTCCTTAGGCTTGGCATGTAGATCGAGTGGTGAGAAGTGAATACATTGAAGTGTTTTGAAGTGTGACTTGAAAAATATGCCAAAAAAGAGATACAAATGGGCTAGAGATAGGTGAGGAGGAAGATGAGTACCTCCAAGAAGAAAAATCACACTGAGTGGTGCTTGCGCTTTTCTTTGGGGGGGTTGTTTTGTTTTCTTGTTATGTTCTATTCATGGATCTCAACTTTGATTTAACTTTTAAATGTTTTAATCTCTACAAAGAATATATATTAATATACCATCCTCATTGGGGAACTGGCACTGTGACCTTAGCATTTAGTTTTCTAGAGGATGTGATCTAATTTCCTCCTAGCTCATCATTAAAATGGAAATTGTATCAGGACCCATGGGATTCCAGAGGGAAACTTCATGAGGCTTTGAAATCTGGCCTTCCTGAAGATGGCTGATGAGAGAGATGGTTCTAAAGAAAGGCGTCTGCAGCCTTGCAAGATTGTAGATCAGCACTACAAAGATTGCATAGATCAAATAGAAAGAAGTGTTGATTTTTATTCAGTCTGATCGTTCTGTTCATAATTGTGACTGTCATTAACAAGTGGTAAATTGCTCAATGTAATATTTTTGTGCACTGTTTAGAAAAGAGGGTGTGTGATTTTTTTTTTTTGCCATCATTGATAAAAATGCAAAGTCAAATAAAAGTGTCTTGCTTTGTGTCATAGAATGATACAAGGGAGAAAAGCATAGGTACTGTTTTCACCAAGAGAGATAATGAAGGAATAGTAGCAGAAAGCACAGTTTGTGAGTAAAGGTGTCAGGAAATAAGTTACCAAATGTACAGAGCAGATGAACTCTTATTTTGAGACGAAGCTCCACTTGGCGGCATCTAATGATCTGTTGGTTTATTTCACTTTCCTTAAATGAACATTGACTTGAGAAGGACCCACTTACCCGAGCTTTAGAGAATCTCTAGTAGAAAATTACATAACACCAGTCCTGACATTACACTAGGGCATTTCTCTCTCTCTCTCTCTCTCTCTCTGTCTCTCTCTGTCTGTCTTTCCATCTCCCCCCCTCCTCCCTCCCTCCCTTCTTTCTGAGAGAGATTGCTAAGACCTACTCAACCAGATTCAGCCAGGGTCCAGGTTTAAAACTCAATCTTTGTTTTTACATAAAATAATCAGCGTTTAAAATAGTTTACAAATAGATTTTTGACCTCTTCCATTTAGGGATTCTTTCAGAGAAGCAGCCAGATCTGACTTGTCTATTGTTGGCTTGTTAAAAACGAGCTTTCTTTCCAATGATAATGCTTCATTTTTGAAGTGTTGAAGCTGTGCTCCCATTAAATTGTGGCAGGAGAGTAGATTGAGGTGATTACAACACTCAGTTCTGTGTCTTACCAGCACTTTGTTTTGTCTCTGCAAGAAAATACCATTCAAATCATTTCCCACAAAATACAGAAATTTTCCGAACATAATATTCTTTGATTGATGCAGCATTATGCTTTGGGCAGTATTACAAAATAGCAGGCAAGTGCTTTCTGTATTTAAATATTGTAAAAAGAAAATAAGTTATAACTGTTATAAAGCAGAACCTTTGTTGCATTTTTTTAAGTGTTGAAGTCACTTTGTATGTTTGTTTTGTCAATGTTTCTGCAGTATTTATTAAAACATACATTTTTTTCCCTTCAAATAAAAAAGGTAACCATGTCTTTGTCTTATTATCTATTTCCTGATTTTGCAGTTTTGCTTTGTTGTTTAATAGAGATGATTTTAGAATGTTGTCTGACTTTTCCTGAATGTATAGCTTTTGGAATTTTTAAATTCTCAGCAGTAGTAATTCTCAGGCAAAGATACCCCTGAATGTAAGAGGTTTTTATGATGATTAGAAATCATAAGAAGAAAATGAGGCATACTTAGATTAAGTGATTCGATCATATAGAAAAACTGGCGTACTGCATAGGATTAACTTGAAGAAAGTGTGGGAAATTCTTTGAAGTCTCGTTAGTGAAACAGTGTGGCGTATGATCCGTTCTCAGACCACAGGCTTAGCTCTTCCTTCTTCCTCTCTCCTGCTCTCCCTCTCCTCTCCCTCTCTTTCTTCCCCGCTTCGTTTCCCTCCTCTCATTTCCTCTCTCCTTACTTCCTTTCTTCTTTCTCAGGACCAGAGACGGAACCCAGGACTTTCAAAGTGAGGGATATCCTCAGGCCTTCTGAAATTTAAACTTTGGAGGGGGCATCGTTAAGTTACTTAGTTTTCCAGGTTGGGCTGCACCTTGGGATCCTCCTGCCTGGGGCTTGCTGAGTGACAGGTTTGATGCCCACGTGAGTCTAGATTGCTACTGTGTTCTTCTCTGGGGTTCCAAATCTTGCTCCCTAACTGAACCATCCACCTTGATGAGGCATATTCATATTCACATCAACCAATAGTGTAAATGATCCAAGACTGAGCAGTGCAACAATTCATAGAAGGAAAAAAACTAGGCTTGTAGCATCCTTAAACAATAAAACAATATAATAAAGGCTTCTCTACTGGCCTGAAGGCTATAAAGAAAGCATAGAAGAGCTGAAGAAAGAGGTCTGGGTACTCGGAGCCCCAGCTGATTCTGTTCTGAGCTAAAATTCATACATATTTTATATATGCCCCAAATAATTCATGTGGGAGTTTGAGGAAATATTGAGTTTGAGGGATTTTTTTCAAATGGCTTTAAAAATCTTTCAGGTATAGTTACTCACTTAGAAATAATTCTCAGAAGCACAAAGCAAAAGGAAAATCAGGGAATCCATCATGAATAAACATTAAAAAGCATTGACACTAAAGAATAGCTGTGTAAAAATCATAATAGCACAAAGATTTACTGAATATCTTTGTAATTCATTCCTGTCATCCAATACTAAAAGAAATAAACATACTTTCCAAATCCTTGGTGTTAAGTAACTTCTAAGCATAATGTCTAAATCAGGCGTACAAGAAACTTGTTTCTCCCTCTCTTTTTTTTTTGGTACCTGGAATCAAACTCAGAAATTTGCACTTGCCAGGCCAGTGAGGTGCCACTGAGCTACATCCCTGGTCCCAGAAACTGGTTTCTCAACATTCATTGCCACAAAATGAGAACAACAACACACATACAGTTTCTGGTGAGCTTGGGAGTCTTTTTTTTTCTTTTAAATTGATACTGGCTTGGCAGTATTTTATACATTATACAATAATGTTTCCCTCTGCTCAATTGTTCTTTCTCAGTAGCTTTAATTTCTTGAAGCAAAAAAAAAACAAAACAAAAAAAAAAGAAAACCCTATCTTCAGCCTTTAGCCTGTATGCTTTCCGCTTTCTGACTTTTTGCCCTAGCAAACATTTATTCTGTGTTTTCTGTGAACATTCCTTTCTATTAGATAATGATCATGATTAATGCCTTTTTAAATACTAAAAGGTGGTTTTCAGACACTAAGACTTTAAATATGTCTTTTTCACCTCTATTAATTCTTTCCAGGAACAGTTCATTAGAAGAGGCCAGATATACCGGGAATGCATCCTAACTGTAAACTTAGAATGCAGGGAATTTTTTATTTGAAGGATTTTTTTAACTGACCTCATGCTCTAAGACTTTATAAACTCTAGAAGCTGCTTTTCCTCTTTTTGATGGATTATTTTGACATTAGCATTTTCTTGTAAACCACATAGTTTTTGTTTCCATTAGTTTTTCGTTCGACAAATATTTATTGAGTGACTACTACATGCCCAGCATGCTTCTTGGTTTGGAACTTAATCAGGCCTGAAACACAAGCTTTGAATAACGGGGAGTGTATTATCTAGTCCAGGGCCAGTCACAAACAAACCCCACTGCCATTGGCCTGGTGTAATCTCCACTACTGTTAGGTGAATCACAGATCCTGGGCTGGTAGTTAATAATCCAATGGGCAGCCAAATACGGTAGTGCAATGCCACAGGCTACACTGCATTTAATACCACAGTAGTACCACAGTAGAAGCAGAACTTGGTAGCGAATCATAATGGCTAAAGCTCATTTATGGTGATTGTGGGGCACTGAGAATGACCATGTCTCTGGTCACCATTGGTAGCATTCGTACAATGAATATGGGTTTTTGTGGCTATTTAGAAGTCCAGAAGGGGAATATACTCCCCGACTGAGCATGAACAGCTCCCAAGCAGTCTCATGCAATGTGCTCGCTTTGCTACAAATTTGTGTTTTCTCCTGTGGAATCTTTAATGGGTGAGTGAATTGGAAAAGAGAAATTGAAATAAAAATTGGCATTAAGTGAAATAAAATTCTATTAGAAAATTGAAATTAATCTCAAGAGACACTAAAATCTAAAGTAATGACTGCTTGAAAATAGAGAACCCACAACATAATTTTAAAAATACAGATTTTTGTGGAATTCTAGAAGGTCTTTTTAAAAAATATTCAATAATAGTGAATGCTAAGGCTTTACAATTCTGCCCCATTCTGGGAGCACAGGAAACAAAAATCTAATGAATCCAAAATAAAAGTTTTTTAAGACTCTCAAGGTTAATTCTTCTTTGGGATTTTACTTTTGGATTTTGCTTCTTTGGAAGTAAACATTACTGCTTTTCTTCCATGATCACAGAGGTAGTGGCAGAAACCCTCTATTTTAAAGCAGTTAAACAGAAAAATAGAGAGAGAGACATTCTACAATAAGTGAAAGCTGGTCATCTTCACTGCCAAAATAACGGCTCACCCTGAAATTGCCCAAATTATGTGCCAGGCCTGTTCTAAAAGATTTGTATAAACTGCTTGTTCCTATCACAGATATGTGCAGGACATTAAGCACTATCGAGTTCCCTGTTTTGCATTTGGGGTGCAGGAATCTTCTCCAGGGTCACGGGAAAGGGCCAAGGTAGATCAAACAGGGGCAGGAAGCATGCTCTATGGTGCCACATTCTTCTACAGCCCTACCTTGTGATTGGACACATCTCATGACTGTGGTTTCCCAGGACAGGAGTATGGAATGTCTTGGCCCTGCAGCTGCTGTCTAAGACCCAGTGGGACGCATCCGTCCTGTCCTCCCATGTCTGCACAATAAGTCCTTCCCCCGATTGCAATTCCTGATTCCTGTGTCGCTCCTAGTCCCTACGTCACCTTCCTTAGTCTCTAAATTCTCCCTGTGTCTTGGGTGGTGAGACAGTCATCCAGGGACAACAAAGGGAACCATGGATGGCGTATACATGTGACCTGCAATATCCATAGCTTCTTAAATTGTGCTAAAACCAATGGCTTCTACAACAATTGCTATAGACACCTTCAAGCCCCAATAGAGCCCTAGATGCCGACATTAAAATGTACAAATTACAGAAAAGAAAAAAGATTTGACACTAATAATCTGTGTTTAAATCTTTTGTGGATAAAATGAATAAATGATGAATAATAAAATGAATAAATGAGCACTCAGTAAATTGCTATTTAAAATGCTGAAGAGGAACTAGATCAAGTTACTTCCTTCACAGGGGAGAGAGTACCAGAGAACAGGGAAGGATATAGAAAACTTGACTCAGTTCAAACATTGCAGTCCTTTCCATTCAACTTTGGGTCACCAGAGTGATTTAAATGTCAGCAGAGCTGACAAAGATGCTATGTGCCACCTGTCATTAGGGTTGTGAGGTAAGGGTCTTCCCTTCTCAAGGTGCTATTGTATACTTCCGGAGAAGAAATTTATTTCTTTGCTCTGCTTATCTAGTATCCAACAGGCTCGCCTTCTGCCCTACATTTCAACTGAGCCAAGTGATCCTTTATAGTCATTTCCTCATCTTCCTTCAATCATAAGTTGTACAAAGAAATCATGATATGACTTTTATGGTCTTTTAAACATTATCCTGGGCTGGGGGTTTAGCTCAGTGGTTGTGCCGCCTGCTCTGCAAGCACAAGGTCCCGAGTTCAATCCCGGTACAAAATAAATAAATAAATAAACATTATCCTAAAACAACAAAAGATCTAGACTTTCTTAGTCACTCTTCAACAATCTTTTTCTTGATGTGTGAGTGTGGACAGCAGAGTTTCTTCCTAGATAGCAGAACTTCCTTGCAGGAGAGCATTCATTCTCTTCTGAAATGCTCTAATGCTTAGATCCATAAGAGTCTTGTGTTTATCACCGACGTATACCCATAACCTACTATAGTAGGTAGTAGATTAATTAATGAGTCAGCCAAGAAATTAATGAATGACTTGCACTGCTAGAAGAAAGGATGATTTTAGGCTTACTGAGGCCCAAATAGAATCATCACTAACACTCTGGATTAGTGGAATTCTTGCTCTCTATAGTTCCCAAGAAACTCGTTTGGGCCCGGAAATACCATAAGAGGCAGACAAATACACATGAGAAAGACATGTCCCTGTGGAATCTAGTATATACTTGTCACACCTCCACTCCCATTCCACCCTTCGCCCTCTTCTGCACACCATGCAGCAGTTGTTAGGGTCTATGCCTCCCAAATTCACCTGTTGGAAACTTGATCCCAGTGCTCTAGACTGTGGATGGATTGCTGGTTAAATGCTTACAGGAGAGGGATCACTCTTTGCTACTTTTCTTCCACAAGAGGACACAGAACTTTACACTCTCACTCTTGCTTTGCCCTTCTGC